AAGGTAAAATGTCACTAGTCCAGTGACTGTCAACTAGTATGATGCAGCACCATGGGGTGCCTTAAGATCCTTTCAGGGGTGCCATAGGATGCCCCACAATGTTAGTACTGTTAGGTGTGAAAACATAATTCACAAGATAAACCACTGAGATTTCAAATAGGAATTCATAGTGTTGGAAACAGTTAGACCTGTTGTTCAGACATTGCTTTATTATTTTTTTTGTAATGAAAAACCAAATGAAAACCAAGAATTGGAATTTCTTTATAGGGGGAAAAAGCTATTTTTTTCTTATGCAGAAGTGTGCTTCAAGCAAGTATCTGATATGGCCTTTATTGCTTATACATAGTTTTGCTGGCTCTTTAGATAGCATGATAAAGTGAACTTACATACTAGTAATTAGTTTTGAAAAACGTATTAATTAGTTTTAATATAAGACTGAGTTTTAAGAAAACCATATCTGTTGATGCTGTGAAGTAAAGAAAAAAGACAGTCTTTTTGCAACGTTAGTACTTCTGACATACACTGAAATCCAGGGCTCTCAGTCTCTTAGTTTTTGACATTACCTCAGGTTCCCAGACATGATCCCTGCAGGGTGCAGGATCCGGGGTCTGGGGCAAAGCAGCCTGCATGGGGCCTCCCTCCCCGACCCATGGCGCACTTATGCCAGGGAGTGAAAGCCTGGGCACACTGGACGTCGCAGGATGGGTGGTGGCCAGAACTTCTGGCCGAAACAGGCGAAGAGCCATCCAACCCGTTGTGAGGGTGGGTGGGCTAAACTTCAAACACAGCAGCTGTGGCCTCTCCACCTGGCTCTGTGGGGCCCCTCAAAGCTCAGGGCCTGGGGCAGTTGCTTCGATTCACACCCCCTTAGGGCCGACCCTGCAGGTTCCTGAGCATTTTGTTTGGTTATCCATTACAGTTCTAGTACCACACTTCTTTTTGGAGTTTGTTTTGCATTTAAACCTTCACTTGATACGTCTTAATTAGTGACAGCAGTAAGAGAAAATGAGAACTAAGTATTGCACACTATATCACAATTGTAGAATTATAGATGCTATGCAAAGAGCTTGTGAAAATGTCAAGTTTAGTGCTATAATGGTTTGTATTAGAAGAGCAGAAAGAAACTTGAAAGTACTCTAGTTACCAAGCCATCTCACAAAGAAGACCAAAGTCAGAGCCCAGTTTCTCTCTCTTTGTTTCTGGGGAAGAAGAGAATGCACAAAGCCGTGAATGCTGTGTGCCCCAGGAGGCTGGGGGGCCACACAAGCTCCTGCAGGCGGCAGTGGTGCTGTCGGCTGTGGGAGCATGGCGGTGGCAAGTGGGGAGCTCTGACAGGCAGCCGCAGCGCTGTTGGCAGTGGGTTGGGGGGTGGCGAGTCCCGACCTGCGATCAGTGACCACGCACAGATGCCACTGGCAGTGTCACCAGTGGCCAGCAGCAATCGTGGACTGCCCACAGATGCCGCTAGTGGTGTTGGCAGCATGGGGGTGGGGGTGGTGAGCAGCAACTGCCTGCCAGCAGTGCCTTTTTGCAGGGAGTGCACTGCCATGCTCAGGGGGTGCACATGCACCCACGTGCACCCCATACTTGCTGCCAATGCATATAGCTTTGCAGCGAGTGCAGAACCCAGGAAGAAATAGCGCTGGGGGGGGGGGGGGTGAGCAGCAACTGCCTGCCAGCAGTGCCTTTTTGCAGGGAGTGCACTGCCATGCTCAGGGGGTGCACATGCACCCACGTGCACCCCATACTTGCTGCCAATGCATATAGCTTTGCAGCGAGTGCAGAACCCAGGAAGAAATAGCGCTGTCTAATCAAGAGAAAGTTGTTGTGACACTGCCCATGAATGAGAAGTGATGGAAAAAGAACCAGAGGAGGAATGAAGTGGTGGAGGTGAATAGTGGTAGTTATGTAAAAGTAATTGTGATTGTTCAGCAGACAGGTAGTTGTGTGCTAAACTTCATCTGCAAGAATCAGCTTGCCTTGAATTATATTTCTGCTCAAAAACTGGATGACATGGAAAATTTCCTTTCTCATGGGCTCACATTTACAGCTTTCTACAATGGTTTTGTGAATTAAAATGTTATCAGTAGGCAAGGTTTTTGTTTTTATTTTCTTAATTGCTTCAGCGGTACTGATTAATGGTGAATATGAACAGTTTCCCTATTTTATGGCTGAAGGGCAACACTGTGCCATAATAAAGGATGTATTTTCCATCATAGAGCAGTGTAAAATTTAAAATTAATATTAAGAGAAATGAACGTCAAGATCATCATTTTTATAGTCTTTATTATGAATCTATGAATAGGTGGGGTATTGAAAATATTCCAAGAAAATTTCCTGAAGTTGTTGAATTCATTGCCCTTTGGCAAATAGGAGTCTGAGGCCCTTGCTTTGTCATCTGTATCTTTAGGGGAAAATCTAGTAGTTTTCTGTCCCATCCTGTGTGATTAGAGGATCTGGACCTGGTTTTCAAGGAGCCCTGTGGTCTTAGATCTAGCTTCGGGGGCAAAGGCAAGTTTGACACCACTTGTCTAAGGAAATGTATATCATGTATCTCAATGTACAGTATCTTCTTCATTAATAGTTTTGTATCTCATTTTGGTGTACTTTACACACTGGTGTTTACCTTTGAGTACTGTCATATATCTCAATACTATAGGAAGAAAAACAGCCACTTTTTATGCAATACATTCTCAAGGTTTGAAAGCTCTTTTGGTTTTTTAAGCAGTGACTTGTTCGTACGCCTGGAAGTACATAAGAGTTTACAACATACCTTGTTCGTTTTGAAATATGATATAGGGTCAGTATATATTGCTGGACTATATAAATGAAGGGATTTGGAATTGGACTAGAAACAAATTGTACTGAAGGGAACTTTCACTAATTGGTTGAAATGAGCAAAGCAGTGAAATTTTAATCTAATTAACTGATCATTATTATTTCTTTATCCCTCAATATTTTGGTGGTTTGTTTTTGTTTCATGGCTTTGGACAACTTCACTATTGATAAACAGCAACCCATAGACTTCCATTTAGTTTTGAACAAATTTTAGGAATCTTAGAAAAGTTCTTGCTTGAGTTTCTTTCCATATAGATACATACACTGGTTCTTAAACACAACCAGTACTCAAACTCTATGTTGCTCCAACCCCATTGCTGTGTCTCAGGTTTATATTTATAAAGTGACACACATAATTATTGTGCAAGGTTATTTCCTATCCAATAGTAAGCTAAAATGTAATTACATTAGTAAGATTAAGGGATGCAAAACATCAGTGGTGGTCCTGTTAATTTGTGTATGTTGTTGGGCACTGATTCCTGATCTCTCTAGGTATGTGACCCCACTTCTGTGGTGAATTCAACTCTCCCAACATACGATTTCTATAGAATTGCAACCATTAGTTTGGGAGTCAGTGTTCTTGGGCAAACCCTATATCCATAAAAATACCCTCGCACTCAGAGGGTAGTGGTGGATGGGTCATATTCAACCTGGGGGGAGGTGGGTAGCGGAGTCCCCCAGGGCTCGGTCCTGGGGCCTGCGCTGTTCAATTTCTTCATCAGCGATCTGGATGATGGGGTGGAAAGTAACCTGTTTAAATTCGCTGATGACACCAAAATTTGGGGGGAGGTGAGCACGCTAGCAGGGAGTGAGAGATTGCAGAGGGATCTGGATAGGTTACAGGGGTGGGCTAACAGGAACAGGATGCGTTTCAATACGGACAAGTGCAGGGTGCTGCACTTGGGCAGTAGGAACCAGCAGCACACTTACACAATGGGGAACTCCCTACTCGAGAGCACGGAGGCAGAAAGAGATCTTGGAGTCATTATTGACTCCAAGATGAACATGGGCCGACAATGCGAGGTCATGGTTGGCAGGGCTAACCGGACCTTGTCGTGCATCCACAGGTGCATCTCGAGTAGAGCCAAGGAGGTGATCCTCCCCCTCTACGCGACGCTGGTCAGGCCACAGCTGGAGTATTGTGTCCAGTTCTGTGCGCCCCATTTCAAGAGGGATGTGGACAACATGGAGAGGGTCCAGAGGAGGGCCACCCGCATGATCCGGGGACAACAGGGCAGACCCTACAGTGAGAGACTGCGGGACCTGAACCTATTCAGCCTCCACAAGAGAAGGCTGAGGGGGGACCTGGTGACTGTCTATAGACTCACTAGGGGGGACCAGAAGGGTTTGGGGGAGACGCTGTTTCCCCTAGCGCCCGCTGGCATAACAAGGAGTAATGGGCACAAGCTGATGGAGAGGAGGTATAGATTGGACATCCGCAAAAACTGCTTCACGGTTAGGGCGGCTAGGAGCTGGAACCAACTTCCAAGGGAAGTGGTGCTGGCCCCTACCCTGGGGGTCTTTAAGAAGAGGCTGGATGCCTACCTGGCTGGACTCGTTTGAGTCCCATTTCTCTTTTTGGGGTTTTTTGTTGTTCTCCCGCCCTGGCGGGGGGTCGGGCTAGAAGATCTACTAGGTCCCTTCCGACCCTTAATCTATGAATCTATGAATCTATGATTTGAATGGTGCAATATCTAAAACTGATCTAGAACAGTAGGGTCCAACCTTTTTTGCCTGACAAGCCAGATGGGCAGTGCACAGTCTGTTCACAGGCTGGATCCAGCTAGTGGCCCTGATTTAGTACACAGGGCGGTGGGGCCCTATCTGGCTGCACAGATGGGGTGGGGGGTAGCCCAGCCCTGATTCAGCCACACAGGGGGAAGGGGGTCTGGCCTAGCCCTGATCTTACTGTGAGGGCTGATGGGGTGTGGAAATTTGGCAGTGGGGGAGGGTGGCTATTCCATGCTGCCAAATTTCCTGTCCATGGGGGAGCCTCATGGGTAAGGTTCACTGTCTTCATGGGTTTGATTGGGCCCATGGGCCAGAGGTTGAGCACCCTGATCTAGAATAATTAATCAATTAATATCCTAAATAAAGAATATTTCTACAATGTAGCATGTAGAAGACTAGAAATAATATTTTGATATGTGATTTGCTTTTAGAAGGATATGCTGTCCTAAAACCAGATCCTCCAGTTGTAGGTGAGGTCACACATCACAGCATTCAATTATCCTGGGATTTAGAAAACAAAACGGAAAGAAAAGGACCTCAAGAGCAATGGTTAAAGTATTCCATTGAAGAAGAAGACCCAAAAGTACATACCTATGGTACCATTTATAGGTAGGTTCAGTGTTAAATAAGTTTAATCTTTTTTAGTTTAAGGTTTTAAAATATTTGAAAGATGGAAATTTCTGAAATACTAAATATTTATGATGACAACAATGATGTTTTTGTTAAAGAGGAGACTGCTTGCGTTCATTTATTAAAATATAATGTTTATTTAAAAATTTTGATTCACTAGAAATTTTTATTTATATCAGGTAGGAGTCTATTTCTACCCTGTTTCAAACAGCTTTTGTCATGCCAGGGCATTACTGAGGCAACTGATTAACATGTATGTAAATGTTAACTCCAATTCACATCATTGGGTCAAAATACATGACCACCTTGTGTTGTGTATGGCGGTCAGTACACTGAGGCATGTCAGGAGGCAGTGAGTGAAATCCTGGCTTCATTGAAGTCAGCAATAAAACTTCTGTGCTAAGTACAGACCCTTAAAAATTCTGAAGCTGAATCAATTCAGTCTTTGCAGGTTAGTCTAAGCCGCAGAGATTGAACTGATAAGCAAGTGAATAAACAGTGATTTTTGATTCTGGAAATGCCCCATATGCCTGCAGTGGCCCAGGTCAGAAGCTGGGGGTGCTAGAGCACACCTCCCTGCTCATTGGAGCAGACAGCTTAGGACAAGGCTAGCCTGCCCACCCGGCAAGGGGGGTTTTGCTGGGGAGATGCAAAGCATCCTGGGGATGCTAGGGGAGCGTGAGTTAATATTTAGGGGATCTGGAGCAGACGTTCAATAAACTGATTTAACCTAAATCAGTTAAGTCTGATACTACATCCATTCAGGTTTATCTTAAACTGGTTTTTGCCATTTTGAAAGTGGTTTATGTGCACTGAACTTCTGGACAGGAGTTACACATAAACGTTTAAGTGATTGGAAACCAGTTTAAACCTGTAACAGAAGAGAAGTTCAGTGTACATAAGCTGCTTTCAAAATGGCCAAAATTGGTTTAAGATAAATGTGAATGTAGTATCAGACTTAACTGATTCAGGTCAAACCAGTTTATGGAACTTCTGTTACAGATCCCTTCCTTGTTCAATTTAACTCACAGTCCCTCAGCATCCCAGGATGATTTACAGCCCTGGGCTGTGCTGTCTGCTCCAACGGAGCAGGGACTCCGCCATCCCTCTGCTCCACAGCCTACTTCCTGCCTGCATCCATCAGTCCATAGGGAGGGGGTGGGGGGAAAGGGAATGGACCCCCCTAGCGCAGGTATACACAGCACACAGGAGGAAGGAAAGCCCCCATGGTAGGTGTTTTTTGTCCCTCTGCAGCCCTCCCCCAACCCAGAGCAGCCCAGGGAGTTGGGGGAATACCCTACCTCCCCCTCCTCTGCACAGCTGATTGCCTAAGCCACTGCTACAGGAGGGAGGGTGGAAGGAGTTCCCAAAGCCCCAGGGGTGTGGACACCGGGGAGACCCGCCTCATGGGGCTTCCTCCACCCTGGCCTGGGGTCCCCTAGCCAGTGCAGCCCTGGGGAGCAGAAGGGAATTCCCCCCACTCCCCCTTCCCGGCTGCTGATTGCTTTAGCCACTGCCATGGGAGGAAGGCAGAAGGAGTCCTCGAGGCTGGGTGCCTGCCCATGCAGTCCGGCATGGGGGCACTGGGGTCCCCTGACTTGTGGGGCTTCCCCTGATCTCAGCTCAGGCTCCCTCAGCCCAGGACAGCCCCAGGGAGCTGAAGGGAATTCTTGCCCTCTCAAACCCCACAGCTGCTTGCCTCAGCCACTGCAAGTCTCAGGACCAACCCGAGGCAGCCTCAGGGAGTGGATGGAAGTTCTTCTGCTCCTTTGCAGCTGAAGCAAAACCAGCTATGGAGAAGCGGGAGAATTTCCCTCCACTCCCTGAGGGTGCCCCAGGCTATCCCTGAGACTCACAGTGGCTGAGGCAAGCAGCTGTGGGGTTCGGGAGGGCAAGAATTCCCTTCTTCTCCCTGGGGTTGCCCTGGGCTGGGGGACCCAGGGCTGGGATGGGGAAAGCCCAGTACCCCAGTATTGGGCTGCATGGACAGGTTGGAGGATTTGTTTTTCCTTTTTCCTGTGGCAATGCCTGAAGCAATCAGCAGCTGGGAATGGAGAGAGGGGGAATTCCCTTTGGCTCCCCTGGGTTGGGGAACCCAGGCTGGGGGAAACCCCCTGAGGGGGAAGCTCCCCCATGGGGTCCAGCACCTGGACAGGGGGCTCCTTAAACCCCTGCGGGGGGACAGCAGGGGTCTGGGAGCATGTATTGGGGAGCCAGTCAGGGATGGCCTACTTGACTGGGCTCACAGTGACCAGCAGGCTGGGAGACCTGCTCTAGCGCCCCCCCACCTACTGGCCTGGGTCAGTGCAGGCCTCCCCCGCCCTTCCCAATCGAAAACAACATTAGTTCAGTTGTTTATTGGTTCAAGTTATGCAGTTTAGAAGAAGCTTGTCCTTCTCTGACTGATAACTGGGAGAAAAAGAATAAGTTAGACATGTGGCCTACCAAGTAAGCTTCTGGCCAACAGCTCTGGTAGAGTCAGCTGAAGTAAGATTGCCATTCTCCACAACAATTTGCAGTATTTAAGAGTTAGGAACTGCCTGGATATGAGATTATCTATTTTCTTTCCATGAGTTGTAGCAAAATATGGAAGTGGAAGAGCTTTAGTTCCTGCCCTTACAGAATGGATATTATTAAGTCACTCTATTCCACTTCTACTTTTGGGATTAATGTGAAGCATGATTAGTTAGCTTAGTGCAGCTCATGCAGGCATATGGGATGAAATAATGAGAGTGATTAGGGATATTAAGTGGCTTAAATTATCTGTTCCATCTCATCACATTTTCTTTCTATTTTTCTCTCTCTCATGTTGTTGTTTATGGAGCTGTATCTTTATTTGTAAATGGAACAAATAGTTTTTAAAGCAGTTCATGGATTGACAAGAATTTAGTATGCTTCACATTACACTTTGCCTTCCTCTGGGGTCCCAGGAAATGAGACTACTTACTTCTTAACCCAAGCATTTTGCATTGATTGCAATTTGCAGCGCAAGCTGCTCACTGCACAGACTACTATGTTTCCTGCTCTGGCACACAGTGTCCTTGGAATGTAACTCAGTGTAAGAGCTGTCACT